CCCCTGCCTGCTCCCAAGGTTTTCCCTTCCCAGACACAGGACTTGGTCTCCCGTCAGGCCCCACCTGCGCACCGCCAGCTGCCACCCCAGGCGCCCAGGACACAGCAGGCCCAGGTGCTTCCCAGCCAACACCTCGACCTGCCTTCAAACCCTGAGAAAAAGGAACTCTGCGTGGGGACACGAGCCTGCCACCTCCCTCAAAACCCACAGGGCTCTGGGCCACTGCTGAGAAAACAGACCATGGCAGTGTCAGACAGAGACGCAGACACCAGGCTCACTTGTCCCCAAGCACTGACACCCATGGGCCAGTCAGTTCCAGGCGGGGGGCCCCACAGTCAGGGGCCACATGGGTCCCGAGTCACCACACCTGGTTACTCAGAAGCAGGACAGGTGGGGACAGCATCTCCTCCACTAAGAGATACCTGGGAGCCAACCTCCTCCCAGGCCTGCTGGCTGGAGCCCCTGGGCGCCTGGGGGGACAGGGTGCACCCCTGTGCACCCTGTGCCCCCTAAGAGTTGGGGCCTCGCGCCATCTCCCAGCTGCGCACACATCGGGGCCGGGAGCGTGCTGGAGGAAGGCGCCGGGGTGGTCCATGCCCGTGGGCAGCAGATGGCAGCGCAGTGCGGACAGCCCCACCCAAGGCACCCAGGCAGTGTCCAGAGGACACAGGCCTGCATCGTGACGAGGACAGCCTCCCCCATCTGAGGCCCAAGGGGAAGTGCCCAGGAAGGCCACGTGGGGTGGGCCAAGGACACAGAACAGGAGCCAGCGGCCAATGACCCAAGGACCCCCACCAGATCACTGCTCAGGTGTGCCCTCCGGAGGACAGCACAGGCAGCCCGGGCCGAGGGCCATGCAAGCCTGGCGGGGATGGGCGAGTGACAAGGCCAGCCCTGCCTGCCACCCTCCTGGTCCCAAGCATGGCTCCCCAGACCTGCAAACTGGAGGGGACTGCCAGCCAGGCCCCGAGCCCCCTGCCAGCCCACCTCCCTGTACTCGGCAGGGGATGTGGCCCTCTGCTCAGCGGTCAGTCCTCCACTGCCCTTGAAAAGCCCTGACCTGGGTAGCCCCCCAGCACCACCTGTGCCGGAGAGCTAGGGAGAAGGCCCGCTGGACAAGGCCTGCCCTCAGCAAGCCTTAGTCTGAGGCAAGGTAGCAACTAGAACACAGCTCCTGCAGCACCCCTCGGGCCTCCCCACTGATGCCCCATGAGCCTCCACCTGGAGCCTCGCATGCACATAGTCGGTCCCACAAGCCAAGATGCACCCCCATCAAAGGACATATTCTCAGGGCAAGATCCACAGGGACCGTGGTACAGACAAGACACTCCTGGCCCAGGGAGGAGCTCTGCAGAGCCGCCGGACCCCAGGTCACTCCCTCAGACCCGTCAGCACACGTGCACACAGGCCAGCAACAAGAGCCCTGTGCCTTGGAGCCCACGACCTCTGGGACGTGACCTGGGCACCAGCAGCTGCTGAAGCCAGTCTACTCAGAGGTCATTGTGACAGAAAACCACCCCTGCTGCCCTGGCTACTCCAGAGAGGACGGGAGACGCAATGGTGCCACGCGGCACTCCAGGGAGCGGAGGCTCGAGTCCACTCGGGGACAGCAGGGCCCACTGTCTCGTAGGAAGATGCCACCTCAACAAGGCAAGGAGCCCCTAAACTACCTTGTGCACACGCCCCTGAACACACAAAGCAGGCATTTGCATGCACACGTGTGCACACAGGCTCCCACACACACAAGCACATACCACATGCACACGCAGAGCACCAGCTCTGCTCCCCAGCGGGCACTTCTGTTGCCAAGGAAGCGCCCATCAGAAAGTCCACTTCACCACCCCTGACTGGGAGCCAGAGCCAGTCCAGGTGCCAGGCTTCTGATGGTGGCCAACTGTCTGGTGTGACTGCCCAGCTGGCATTGGGCTCTCACCTGTCCAGGTGGGCCCTTCCTGCCAGCACCGATGACCCACCTCACACCTGCCAAGACAAAGCCAACCAATGCTGGCTGCAAGAACCCACTGGCGACAGCCACCTTCAAGGGACGGCTTCAGCACGGCCAGGACGGCTTCCCCACAACAGCCGCAGAGCGAGGATGACCAGACAGCCTCTGGTAACCAGCCCTGCTGTGCGGAGCAAGACACAAAACGCGGTGAACAACCACGCCCGAGGCCTTCGTAGGGCTTCCTCGTCCCCAAGCTGTCCCCCTCCCAACAAATCCTCAGGACAACATGGAGGCCCACAGTGCTGTTTCTGGAACCACTACCCTCCAAGGTCATTAGGCTGCCTGAAACCAAGGCTCCTCTTGGGATAAAGGACCACGAAAAAAAACACCACCTTGACAGTCAATCCCCCGAAGCCGGGAGCCAAGGTCAGCTGCTGAGAAAGGGCCGCCCCAGCACCTGGGGGTGCCTGGCATGTCTCCCAAGAGGGCTCAGTTTGAGCTTCATTCTAAGCAGCACAGCAAACCCCGCACCTCTGTCCCTTGCCCAGGGCAACTGCTCAGGGCCGCTGGGGCTGCAAGCTCCGCTGCGCGCACCCGCATCCCCAGGGGCCCAGCCCCAGGCCTGCCCCAGGAAAGCCCGGAGAGCTTCAGTCCCTGTCCCTCTGCCCAGGGTCTGAGGGCGAGTTAGCAGACCTCTCGAGCCTCAGCCTTTCATCTTCCATGAAGTTCCCCGAGGACACAGCTCCCACGGGAGCCAGGCTACAGGGAGAGAGATTAAGTTTAGCACTAGCGAGTCTTCCAAGGAGGAGAGTCAAAACTGCATTTCATTCTCGCATTTTTAACCAAGGAGGCCAAGGACAAGCGTCCCCGTCACGCCGTTCTCTGCCAAGGCAACCACCACGCGGAACTGCAGCTGAGTGGACAGAGGGGCCAAAGCGAACAGCAGAACCGCAGCAGGGGGCGACATCAAGTAGGGCCACTCCCAGCCACTCTCCCACAAGCTGCCAACCCAGGCACAGAGGCGGCAGCGTCCCGGACAGACCCGCCTGGGCCCGCGGTCTGACTGCGCCTCGTGTGGGCCATGTCCGCCCGGCCGGCGTGCCAAAGCCATCGGAGCTGCACCGACTCTGCGGTGGGGCCACGAGCTCCCCAGGGACAAACCACAAGCAGCAACAGCGCTGCACTGGAAGCCTAGGCGGTCAGGCCGCAGGGCGGCGGCGCACCGCCCGCAAACCCCGCCTGCCCACCGAGCCCTGCAGCCCGCTCTGCAGACACCTGCCTCCCAACGTGTCCCACCCAAAAATGCTGGGTCTCTGCCACACCCTCCCATAGGAGGCTCACTTGTCAGCTGACCCTCAGAGCACAAACCACAGTCCTGCCTGTTGAATACGCCCCCAAAACCCTCTGGTCTGCTGAAAGTCCCCAAACACTCGAATCTTAACAGTTTTCTGCCACCATCCTGCTGACAGACCTCACTTCAGACCTCCAAACAAATCACACCTCGGTCTAGAAGCTGCCTTGCTGCAACTACATGCATCCGACTGCCCAGCTGGGAGACTTCCATTAAGGGTGATCCTGGGATTCCCCAGAGCAAAGCCACGCCACGAACCCCTCCTAGTTCTTGCCGAGAAAGTTCCTGTTTAATGGTTTCAGTGCAGAAACAGGGAAAACAGGAAAGAAAATTGCCACCACTGGCACTTCTCTCCCAGTCCCTGCAATAATGAGCAACTCGTAACAAAACTAATGACTAATAATTCAATAAACCTCCTTCCCTTGACAGCATTTCTTACAGAGCAACACCGCCAAAAGCGCATGCCGCCGACTCTACGCGGTACTAACACAAAAACCCTGAAGGCTGCTCCCTTCACGTGCTGCTCCGTCTGCTGTTTACCCGCCGCTCTAACATGGCTTCAGAACTGACTGAGTCGATCCCGACCGCCTTCAGGATTCCTCCAGGTGACCTAGCTGCAACTTTAAGACCTTCATTAGCAGCCGTGAGACTCCAGCCGCCTCGGACTCCGGCCGAAAGCTAAAGCCCTCCCCACGCCCCGAGGCCTCCCCCCGGGCGGCCAAGAGGGCTTGGCAGGCGGCTGGCTCAGGAGGCACAGCCGTAGTTGTCCGCACAATTAGGAACTGTTGCTCCGCCAGCGCGCTGCAATCCCATTCGGCCGCCATGAACCAGCCACCGCCGCGTCAACACAAACTCCCCAACCTCGGCCTAAGGCTCAACCTTCAGACACAGTTTTGAAACAGCACAGTTTTGTAAGAGGACCGCGCGGACCGCCCAGGGCATGAATCTCCCGCGACGAAATGCCGCCGGGAACAGCCCTGAGCCCCCGGGAGCCTGGGTCTGTGTCTGTGGGGTGGGGGTGGGGGTCCAAGCCGAGAAAATGGATGCTGAGGAACAGAAACCTGGGTGCCTGTCAACCTGCACACAAGGCGCAAAAACGGCCCGGGCGGGGGCGGCGAGGGGGTCCACGGACTGCGCGCGCTCAGACCCACACTGGCGTTCCGCACCGGGGGATGCGAGAAGACTCCTCACACATCAGAAGCAGAGGCAGGCGCGCCAGCCTCCTACACAATTAGTCTTCTCCCTCCGCGGTTACATAAGATGACGGATTATCTGTCCACCCATCCAACCTGCCCGCGCGCGACCTCCCACACGGCCATGTCCATTAACACCCGGGAAGGAGTTGTGGAAAGGAAAAGCCTATTTAGAAAAAAGTGCCCAAGGCTTGCGTAACCGCGCCCGGCGGAGCCACCACGGGGCGTAGAGAGACAGGCAGCCACGGCCCCGGACCCCCGCAGCCCCCGGACCCCCGCAGCCCCTCGCCCGCGCCCCACTCAGGTCCGAGGGCTCCGGTCCCGGGGCGCGCGGTGGGCGCACGAAGAGGCCCGTGGAGGGGCGCGTGGGAGCAGCGCGGGGCTGTCGGGGCGTGGGCGCCCGGGCCAACCTGTGCCCCGCCGGCTCTGGGTCCCCGCGGCCGCACCAGGAAGACCCCTGAAGGCCCAGTACCCCCACCTTCCCGGGCGGGCGCAAGGGCGCGGGGCTCACCTTGTAGACATTTTCTGTGAGCCGGTGCATCTCTTCCGACCGAGACAGCGACATGGTGCTGGTCCGGCTGCACCACGGACCGGAGTGGGGACGTGAGCAGCGGTGGCGGCGGCGACGACGGCGGGTGCGGCGAACCGAGCCAGCAGACAGCGCACGGAGCCGGACCAGAAACGCGGCGTCTGACCGGCGTCCACCTTTATAGCCGCCCAGGCCCCG